AGCATGCTGGCTGGGGAATTCTGGGAGTTGAAGTCCACAGGTCTTTAAGTGGTCACGGTTGAGAAACACTGATATAGAGGTTCTGCCAGTGGTCCTGTTCAAAAGCCTTGCTCTTTCTGGCTCCATCTGGGGAATTGGGAAGATCCTGTGGACATACTCAGAGGATACTCAGAATCTTTGCTCTCCCTGCTAGAGAAAGGCCACCCATCCTTAGTGTAACCCTCTAAGCCCAAAGGGCCAGGGAAGACAAGGAAGAAGAAATCTGTTCTTCTTCTTTTGCAGAGCTTAATAATATCATACCTGAAAGGGCAGGAACCACTTCGAACCCACGTCATTGGATGTAAAAGGAACTTCCTAGGTTTGTCGTGCTGGTCGAGCATCTCAGCTGAGGACAAGATAATTGCTCTAGAGTCAAATAGCTCAATCTTCTTTCCATAAAAGAGCACAGCCCTGAACATAGTCCTTCTATGGGAGAAGAGGGGCCAGGAAGAAACGAATATAAACTATGCTGGGAATCGGTTCCATCCCAATCCGTTGTAGGTGTCCTCAAGGTGGAGAATTCCTGATATCTGGATGAACCTCCCCTCTTCCTTATCTCAGACCCCCGAGGGGTGGGAAATACCCAACCCAGAACTTTAAACTATTGTAATAGACTCAACCCAGAAAGGAGGCAAGGACATCCCTCGCCGCGTCCTACAGCCCTTGACGCTGACCAGGCTGAAGCTTCAGAGGATGTGGGAGAGAAGCAAAATGTGCCAGAGATAGGAAGGGTGAGAGAAGGAACCAACGGGGGAGTCAAGAAAGAAAGAGGGTTAACTTATCCAATTGGAGAGAGGTGTCAGCAGGGAGAGATGAACCAGAAGGAACGCCCAAACTCAGATGGAAAGTCCCAAAGAAATCAGGAAGGGGGGAAAAAAAAATAAGGGATAATATTTTGGCACAGCCAAATTCCCTTTGGCTGACTTTACCATCTATTTCTTTGGGCCTCTTGGCTTGCGAAGGTTTTGAGGGGGGAGAAAGCGCCTGCTCCCCATTCCACCCCCAGCAGACCAGCTGGAAATGCATTGCACATGTTGTATTCGACATTCCTAAGATTCTCAGCAACTTCCCACTTGCTTTCAAGGGGGGGGGGGAGTTCCAAATTGCAACCATTTATGGAGAGGAGAGAATCAGATGGGCTGGGTGACCAGGGAGAGGCCAGATAGTTGGGGAGCTGAATCAATCTGAGTCTGTTGGGGTGACAAGGGGTGCCACCAAAAATGAGTGTGTCCTTGGAAATGAGAGTTTTGGTGTCTTGAACAAGCCCACTGGGACAGGCCTGGTGGACAAGCTGGACAGAATTGTTCCAGTTCTGAGGAACACCTTCTCGTGTGCAGGAGCAGGGAAAGTAAGTTATTTGTGGCAGTGGCTCTGGTTATGATGCAAATTTTCATTCAAAGTAATGTTTAGTTGCAATGAGGGGGTGAGAACAACAGTGAACGAGAATGAAAAGAAGTAGCAGACAGAAGTGCTCAGCTGATGCTGTAGGCCAGTGGGACAATAAACAACTTGGCAGCCCAGATCCGCTGTGGAAGGGCGATGTCAGGAGACCATCAGAGAGCACAGAGTTCCAAAGACTAAGCCCAACCATGGCCTCTACCACATCCCAACCAAGTGCATTCATCTATTGATGGGAGGTGGAGGACCACATCCAGGGAAGATCCCAAAGGAACCATCCATGTTTGCTCCTATCTTAGACTGGAACCATCGTCAGGGCGATCTAGGGGGGCAGCTGATATTTTTTCCCTCTTCTAGTTTGGGTTCCCCAAATACATCTTCTGCCAGGGGCCACATTCCCCCCAAATGTGGAGGAAGCCTGGGTGGGAGCAGACCTCTCTGTCCACTCCCATGGCAGGACTTCCCTTTCAGCTGGGTAAAACTTCCTTTTCAGGAGACATGTACAAAATTGCACAGTTTGGCAGATGGTGAAATGTGGGTTTCTTTGACTCAAGAAGGCCAATTCAACTCCACCCTCCTGGCATCCCGTCTATCCTGCTGCAACCTTGCATCCAGCATCCAGGGACAGCTGGGGGCTTTTATTAGTGCTCTTTCTCTCCCCCTCTCCTGCCCATTGTAGAGGGAAGATGGTGATACGATGACTTCTCAAGTGCCTTCAGATGATGAACTATTATGATTCACGGGCATGAAAAACAGAGTGAGATTCCATCCAGAAGCAGGCTTGTGCTGGGCCAGTGTTGTAACTGTTCAGGGGACAAGATGAGGACCTGCTTTATTGTGCCCTGGAGTGTTGTTGAGGACAGTCAGCTGCCAACTTTGCAAAGCACAGTATTTTGCAAAGCAAAGTATCATTAAGAAAGAACTTCCTTTCTCTTGGATGTTTGGCTCTTAATTGCTTTCTGCATTGCATTCAATGTGTTGTTGGCTTACCTGCAGGGCCCAAGTGAGAATAGGAGATGGGAAAAAAACTAGCTGGTGCCTTGTGGGGAGGGCTTATGCACAACCTCCTCCATGCAGCGCATGAATATTCCAATGAAAGTCTCCAGATCTTGCCATAACCAGCTTCCTTTTCTCATTAAGCCACAGTTTAATTTGGCTTCACTTTGACCTCCAAATACAAATTACTTCTATTAAGTAATGAAGTACTAAAGTCCTTCTCGTTTGACACTATTTCCAAATATGTCTCTACAGTGCAATACCTGCTCAGAAACGGCCAACTCCTTGTTCTGAGCACAGACCGCTTCCTGTTTCATCGGAGAAATGACGCGGCAGGAGAAGACTGTCACTGAGATTGGCCAATAGGAGCTGATTCTCATCTTCTCTCGCAGGGAGCAGGACACAAAGAAGTAAAGTCATGGAGCAGCTGCAATAAAGGGAATCTCTTTGGGGTTTGTCGGGAATGTGCATGTGAAATGTGCATCTGGAGTCTTTTCGATCCCCTTTCTGCATTGGCTGCAGAGTTCCCCTTTGCTGCAGCAGTACCATTAAAGGACAACGCACGGATGGGGGAATGGATGTCAGGTGCTCCTGAATGGGATGTCATTCCCCCCTTTGTTTAGATACGCCATACCTGCTTTTTCCACCACCGAAACACACAAGCATCCATTCTTTCCCCCCTCAAATGCTCTAAAAGTAAGTTTTCAGATAGCTTCTCTGCTCTTCCTGGGCCAATGGGATTTGAGGATCGTCTTCTTTCCACCATGGGCGTCAGCTTCCTTCCCTGGTTGCTGACCTCGGAGATCTGCCCTGGAGAAGGACTTGCGAGCCTCTTTTGCAAGACAGTGGGGTCATGTGAGGAAGTGAGGAGAAAGGAAGTATGATCAGGAAGCTGAAATCTTATCTCAGCCTCTGAATGTGCAAAAGAAGCGGACGGGGCTGATCTCCGAGAGAAAGGAATGGGTTGTGCTACCTTTGGTTCCTACGCTGAGCCTTTTGGCTGACATTTTGGGGACTTCCTGGGCTCTACTTTGCAGAAGGCTGTTGGACAGGCTTTGGTAGGATGGTCTTCAAAAAGTCCTCAGCTGGAAAGTGGACCTGGTCCCAGCCATGTTGAACAATGGAGAACCATAAGAAGAGAGAACGTGTCTGAAGTGGTGCAAGACCAGCTAGAGTTGGGGACCAGACAGAGCGTGCCCAAGACTTCTCTTTGAATTAGTTACAACATTTGCAACCATAGGTATACAAATAAGCAGAGTTGTATCTTGCCCGTGACTTTCTTTAATGGGGACTTTTGCATTAGCTGTCTTTCATCTAGTGTCTTCCAGATGATGATTCCCAGTTATTTAGCAGAAGTTCAAAAGGGCATGACTTTTCCAGGACATTTAGCCTTTTGATGGCATGGTAGACGTTGTCCTTCAAAAGGAAGATGCAGCAACAAAACTGAGGACGCACTTCAGGATCGTTTAAATAAATTCAGTGAAGTTAGTTTGATACATGGGAACGATTGAATATCCCTACTTTACATGTTTAAATTCCTAGGCTCTCAAAAGGACAAAAAGGGGGTAAGGGTTGTCCTTTTTCTCCAGATACTGGATGTTTTCCCTGTGGCTCAAGTTATCTCCTTCTCCTTCTCCTTCTCCTTCTCCTTCTCCTTCTCCTTCTCCTTCTCCTTCTCCTTCTCCTTCTCCTTCTCCTTCCTCCTTCCTCCTTCCTCCTTCCTCCTTCCCCTTCTCCCCCCGAAAAAGGTTGCTCACTTCTGACCTAGCTGATAGCTTTTGGCTTACTATGTTTAATCTATCTTTAGGATAAACTGGGAGGATACGAAAAATGACCACAAAAACAAAATATCCATAGTTAGTGCCAAAAAGAAAAGGAAGGGAGGATTTGAGCTGCAGAAGACAGAAACAGGATGCTGAGCCAAGGAGGGAGAAAGAAACAGTGGAGTTGGGCATAGATGCATTCTGAGTTCATGAAATGTTACATCTGTACCTTCACGCTTCTTAGGAACATGCAGCATAGATTTAGAAATAAAGCAAAATCTTTGAATGTTTTCTGCTCCACCTTTCAGAGGTCTACAGTCCTCATCTTTTAGACCGGTGTTCCTCAACCTTAGCAACTTTAAGATGGGTGGACTTCAACTCCCAGAATTCCCCAGCCAGCCATGCT